TCACACGTTTCGTGGCCCCATAGGACACTCCACCGAAGGCCCCAGTGGCCGCGCCCACATGCGCATGCGTCCCGCACACCCATTTCGGCACATCCCTGACAGGTTTCGTGGCCCCATCATCCACCGGAGGCCCCAGTGGCGGCGCTCACATGCGTCACCCACACCCACCCAATTCGGCACACCCCTCACACGTTTCGTGGCCCCATAGGGAGCTCCACCGAAGGCCCCAGCGGCCGCGCTCACATGCGTCCCCGCCACCCATCCCGGCACGCCCCTCACAACAACAGGCTTCGCGGCCCCATGGGGAGCTCCACCGAAGGCCCCAGTGCTGCCGCCCGCATGCGTCACCACCCGCACCCATTTCGGCACACCCCTCACACGCTTCGTGGCCCCATAGAGAGCTGCACCGAAGGCCCCAGTGGCGGCGCTCACATGCGTCCCCGCCACACATCCCAGTACACCCCTCACGCGCTTCGTGGCCCCATAGGGAGCTCCACCGAAGGCCCCAGTAGCGGCGCTTACATGCGTCTCCGCCATGCATCCCCCCCCCCCCCCCCCCGCAGCAGCATCATGTTTCGGGGCACATAGGGAGCCCACTGGAGGCCCCAGTGGCGGCCCTCACATGCGTTTCCGCCACCCATGTCGGCACGCCCCGCGCGTGTGTCATGTCCCCATAGGGAGCTTCGCCGAATGCCCCAGTGGCACCCATCTCGGCACGCCCCTCACACGTTCCGTAGTCCTATGGGGAGTTCCACTGAAGATGAAACCCGCAGCTGCGGTACTGACAACTGCATATGGTTGGGTTCTTCGCCAGGCTAATTTTTGGGGCGCAGAATCCGTGCGTCCTGGTGAGACACATCAGATGATTGTTTTGAGAAGCGGGCACGGTGGGACGACTTCGCAGGTTTCCATCGAGGGATGTTTTTTTTTGGGCGGTGCCGAGCGCGGACGACTTGATAGACTCTTTGCGGGCACGCCCCGCTGACTTCAATCTGCGAGGCCGATGGGTTGCGCACCGCAACCCGCAGACAGAGATATCAGCCACGCGAAGCGAGGCGGAGGCACCCTCCCGCGACAGACACCGCCCTCGGCTGTCGCACGGTCCATTTGTGCAACGCAGGCCACGGTGCTGTCGGCGCGGAAATGCGGCGACGGAACCATGCCCTTTGTTGGACAAATAAGCAGCTCGAGGATCGAGCGGACAGTGCAGGGTGGCGACCTCAATCAGAAGCACCGACCACGCCCAATCTGACAGACCCAATCACTGCGCGTGACAATCCAGCCATGGCGCTGATTTCCAACAGCTTCTTGGACCCCACAGTCGTTGATTCTGCAACCCCCTTCTTCGGTTCAGCGTCGAACTTCTTGAATATGTCGCCGTCCTTCTTGTGAACCTTTGAACACGCCAACTGCAATATTGGCGCCCCCCCCAGCGTCGCCGTCGCAGTTCGCCTGCCAGCAATCAAACCACTCGACGTCCGAGCGGCCAAATCAAGCAGGCGATCAAGAAGGGGGCTCGACCGCGCATTGCTGCGCAGGTGGTGCCCCCTTCGTGGAAACGCCACCCATTGTGCTGGTGTCAACAAGCTTCTTTGAACCCACAGTCGCAGTCGTTGATTCTTCAACCCCCTTCTTGGGTTCATCGTCGAACTTCTTGTAGCTGTCGCCGTCCCTCTTGTGAACCTTTGAACACACCACTTGCAATATTGACCTTCCTGCAACGTCGCTAACCCGTGCCATCTAGGTGAACCCCCTGCACTTCGAACCAAAAGGGGCAGCTATGATCCGCGCTGGAAGCTGTTGGAAAGAAGGCACGCTGTGGCCACGCGCGGCCAAAGGAGCCGCGACTTCCCGAACGGCGCGATGGATGTCGATTGAGTGGTGACGGCGATGATGAAGTGATGTTTGGCTCCGCCGTCGTTGGCTGGATCATAGCGAGGGCGCTGCACGCGATGGCGGCGGTGCGAGGGCACGGCGCCAGGCGCTGCGCCACGACCAGTTAAGCCCGCGCGGATGCACGCACCGACGTCAACCTTTACAGCGTTGGATGTATTTGAGCGAAGAACAATCGTGCAATGCTACGATTACGTTATTTCATATGTTGGGCCTTGGGGCTGTATACGCTGAGGGATCAAGAACGTTGCCTTTCTCTTAGGAGGTATCGTATGTGTGCGACTTCGGTGTGTGGCAAAAGGAAAAAATGTGTTGACGCTTGTGTGAGGCTGTTCCACGCGTTGGTTCAAATGGCGCGCGCAGTCTGGGTATACTCCGTGGTGCGACGTGAGGAATATGGTGCAGCGTGCGTGATCAAGCTACGTGGTGTTGGCGATGTTAATGAAGATGGTTAAACTAGTTGGTTAAGCTGTGTGGTGCAAGGTATGTTAACATGGTTAAGACATGTGGTTACGCTATGTGGCACAACGTATGATAATATGGTATAAGGTACGTGGTGCAATCTATGTAGTGCCCCTTTGGCCTTTGGGTGGTACAACGCAGAAGCAAGATCGATACACCTTCCAGGTAGTAGTGTTGTGTTGAAGGTATCTCGGTTCCGTATCGTATTTGTTATTGAGGCAGTTTGGTTCATTAGCGTAATGTGGTTTCTTAAGGTAGGTCGGCGTCTTAAGGGTTAGTGTCTTATGGTATTGTGGTGCATTGTGGCAGTTTGGTGTCTTATGGTAGTTTTGTTTCTCCTGGTAAGTTGGATTATTATGGCAGTTTGGTTTCTTATGGGAGCTTGGTTTCTTATGGCAATCTGGTTCATTAGGGCCTGACGCAACCACATTACCTTAAGAAACCAAACTACCATAAGAAACCAAACGCCCGTGCGACGATCGAAACGACGGCGACGGTCGACGATGACGCCCGGAGACCGAAAACCGACAAACGACGACGACGGCAACGACGACGACCGACGACGAGGAGGAGAGAGATGAGGCGGTCTGGCAAAGCCGTCGCTCAGAGCACCTCGCGGCGCGCCGTCCGAATCCGCGGCGACTGTAGCTGGACTGAGCGAACCCACGAGGTCGTCCTCAGGTCAGCAGCCTCGTCCTGGACTTGGGGGCTGCGGCGCTTCCCCCAAGCCCCCCCCCCCGCCCCCGCCCCCCCCGGCACGTCCGCGCCCAGGCTCTGGGCGGTGCCAGTGGGAGCGGGCTGGAGGGGTAGAAGGGCCCATGGATTGCCCAACAGACTGCAACGGAAAACGCTCTTACAATTACAATGTGGTGCAATCTATGTGATTGTGCAATACATGTGATGGAATCGGGGTTAGCGTAGTCGACGCGGCGTAAACTTGTTGATGCCATCTAGGTGGTGAAGCTACGTTGCGAGCCCAATGAAGTGATGAATGATGTCTAGGGCGCTATTTGGGGATCCCTCCATGTGGCCCACCTATGTTGTGCAACGCAGGTGATGGGAGCTGCGGGATGCAATCTACGTTGCGAATGGCTGCGTGGTGCAATCTATGGGGTAAACAGCTGGTGAGTCCTATGTTGTTTTTTACACCAAGTGACTTGGTGTAGAAAACAACATAGGGCTCCCTGCCTCCTCCTCACTTCGGGGAAAACAGTATCTCTGTCTCTCTCTTTGCAATCCCGTATGTCCTCTCGAATGGACCGCAGCAAACGAATGATGGCATCCTTAATGATTGGATCGATAAGTGGAAGCCGCTGCCGCCGAGCCATGCGCGCGGCAATCTCGCCCGGTGTGAAAAGGAAACCAGTCTTCGGATGCGCGTGGAAGCCTGCGTCTGGATGTTCATCCAAGCACTCCATGTACATTGCGACGAAGAACACAACCTCCTGCACTTGGAAGAGTGCGTGCGACGGGCACGAAGGGCGGTCACGGCAGGATAGAAGATAAGGGGGGATGTGGAGGGAAGACGAAGAACACGGGATATGGCCAGAAGGGTAAGGGTGAGAAACATGAGGAGGCACTGAAGGCCACGAGGAGAAGATTTCGGGCGCCCTATTGGAACGGGGGGAAGGGCAGGGAAGGGCGTGAGAGACGAGATGGAGGGAACAATTGAACGGTGGCTGTGCACTTCATCCCCTGGTCGCCCGAACACCCCTAGGAATGCATGGGCCCCGAGCTCCTGCTTGGTGAACTCTCGGACGAGCTCCCTGCCGCCCACTGGGAACACCGCGTGCACCCTGGGAGCGTTCGCCTCGATGTGCCAGATAATGCTTACCTCGCCAGGGTGATCGGCCTCGGGTTCCACGTCCATGGCCGATTCATTCGAGCCCGAGTCAGAATCCCGGCCCTCGCTCCGACATTTTCCTGAACCTACGCGGCGTGCCACGGGGCGCGATGGAAGGGGGGCCCTTTCAGTGGATGGCCACCGTAAGCGTCGCACAGCGACGCGGATGGAAGGGGGCCCGCTAAGTTGGGCGCGGAGGTGGAGGGCGCATTGCAGCATCAGTCGTTGCCGTCCGCGTAGCTTGGACTCACCTCTCGTCGGAAAGACGCACTGCAACATCATTAGTCTATCCAGCAAGCCGCGGGCGGGGGGGTATATTGCAGCATCGGCAGCGCATCCGTTGTGCCTCTCTGCCCGTGCGTTCTCGTTGGCCATTCCTTCTTCTCCTCCTCCTCGCCACTCCTATCTCTATCGAATCCTCCTCCTCCTCCCCCTCCTCCTCCTCCTTCAAATCATTTGTCACTTGTCTCCCAGGTGCGCCATCGGGGCCCATTGGGCCACCCCTCTCGGGCTAGGACAAGCGAAAATGCTGAGCAGGATGATTGGGGGAGCCGGCAGCGCAACGCAGAGTGTCAACGCCCAGGGAAGCAGCGCTCGCATGAGAAATAGAAGCCCGCGTTTTACTAAGCTGCACGGGACAGAAAGAGGAGGACTACGAGGGGGACGCGCGTGCGACGAGGGCCGAGGAGGGCGGGGGGGGAGGAGGATGGGGGCGAGGAAGAGATAGAGTGAGAACAAGGAGTGAAGTGGAGGAGGGGTGCGGGGGGACAAGGGAGAGGAGGATCGGCGAGGATTGCTTGAATCACCAACCCATGGGGACATTGATCGGCCCCTCGGGCTCGCCACCAGGGGTACCCCGCGGGCGCTCCCGCGCGACGACTTCGGGCCCGCCAGCGCGAGCCATGAGCCTGCCCCGCGCTGCCTCTCGATCTGCGCGGGGGATGGTCATGACCATGAACACTGCCCTGTGGTCAGCCCGCGTCGCGAAGTCCCTGCTGATTTCGATCCACCTGGACATGAGGCCGCAAGGCCCCCCGTCAGCGGGGTCGGCCCCTGCCGCGCGCGTGTTCTAACGTGTCATCCGACAAGGGTTCCCTTCCAACTGGTGCCTCGGATCTGCGCGCGTCGCTTGAAAGCGGCCGTCGGTGGGGGAGAACTGGACCCAGCCACTGGGCAGATCCACTCGAACCGAGGGCTCGCCCACACCACCTAAGGGAACGCCGTGGTCACCAGCAGCGTGGTCGACGAGCTCTTCCTCCAACGCCTCCAGCGCAAGGAGGGCAGCGTCGTCGTCGAGCTCGCCCGGGGCCCCGCCCCCCGGAGGAGAGAGCGGAGCAATAATCACGTAAGGGCTTCGCCCCTGGCACAGTCCCCATGTTGATTGTCAGCATTCGTGGCTGGGTTGGTTGGCTTGTTTGGGTTGGTTGATTGGCTGTTCACCGCTGCTGCGATCAATGGCAACTCGGCTGATAGCTGACTGGCTGGTTGGCAACTTGGCCTGGCTGGCTGGCGGGCTGGTTGGTTGGCATGCAGAGTGATTTAGGTGGCCAGATGACTTGCGGGCTACCCCCGAACTCCTGCCAACGTTGCTTGGTCCTGGGGCGCAGAGCCACTGCTCATGCAATGGCCCGCCCAAACGGAGCAAAACAAATTACCCGAGAGTTGCGATGGCCCAGGGCGCCCCCCTCGCCGCGCCCCTAGACCCCAACAGGCGGGAAGGGCATGCGTGAGGGGGCCGAATCGTTTGGCGGGGGGGGCAACTGGCATGGGGGCCGAACGGCCCCTTGCCGTAAGGGGGCCGAAGGGTGTAGCAGGGGGCACTGACTCCAACGCTGCTTGTTGGCCTGCCCGGGCCTCGGCGCCATCCTCGCGCCCCTCGTCGCCCTGGGCCTCGCCGACCTCCTCGGGGGCGCCCTCGACGTCGACGTCGGCCTCGTCGGGCTCGTCGTCGTCGTCGGGCGCAGGAACGGCGGCAGCAGGGGCCGCAGGCGCGCGCGCGCGCGGCGACGCCGCGGGGCATTCCACCAGGTCACGCTCTCCGAAAAAGGCGTGGCGACCACATGCCCAGGCGCGAACTTCGGCAGGAACTGATTCTCGTCGTCTGCCTGGTGCCAACGGGCCTTCCAGACCATGGACGGATCGAGGTCAGCGAAGCCGAAGTAGCCCCGAAACCGCCCCTGCGCCACCTTCGACTGGTGGCGGGGCGAACAAAACAACGCACAGGCGTGGATCGCGGGGGGGGGGGGGGATGGAGGAGTGGATGGAGGACTGGAGGGGTGGACGAGGACCGAGCAGGCGAGGACGGAGAGGGCGATGAGGGCGACGATGGGCGACGCGGCAGGGAGTGACGACGGGGGAGAAGGGAGTGGAGGTGGAGAGCACCAGTGACAATATATGCACGTACTGCTGGAAGCTCTCAGATGGGGGGCCATCGCAACACCGGCCGATTGAACTAGTTCCGAAACCTTTTCGAAACTCAAACCTGGCACTTCATCTCAAACTTAGCGTTCGGCTTGACCAGAGAGGCCCTACCCCCAGATAGAAAACAACGTAGACTTCAGGAGGAAGGTGGAAGGAGGAGGGAGGAGTAAGGAGCCTGGACTGAGGACGGTGGACAAACGATGTTTTGCGTGTTCTCCCCCGCGGTGTAAAAACGTTATCGCGAAACTGTATCATTCGCCCTGATTTTCGGATGATCGCGAACTTGTCTAGCCGCAGCTCCTCCCGAACCGCTTTCCAATGTCGAGTTTTCCAGATGCGGTGGACGGAGTGGGGGGCCCCGACAGGAAGGCCGAAGACGATTCATGGACAGCTTCAGCCTCGGAACATTCAGATCGCTCATCAATGATAGACCCAGGCAAAGAGGGAGGAGGAGTAGGGCGAGAAGGATGAGGACGAGAAGAAGGGGAAGTGGAGGGGGAAGTGGAGGGGGGTGGAGGGGTGGCGGAGGGGGGGGGGGGGGGGGGAGGGGGGTGGTGGGGGTGGAGGGGGGCAAGGGGGGGGGGGGGGCGGGGTTGGCGCAGGGGGGGGGGGGGGGCAGACCCCAGGGGAGAGGGCGGGGAGAGGGGTTTCTGGAAGAGGGAACGCCCTGGCGGGGTTCCTGGAAGAAGGCAGGTGGGATTGAGCTCTAATCGTATTCTTTACGTGCCCATCAAAACAAACCCTCATTTTTTGACCTTCAGCGGATGTAATATAACCAATCTCTTGGGACTCTCAACGCCTGGATGTTTCGCTCCCCGCTCCCCCCCCCCCCCCCCCCGCCCTCGAGCGCTTTGTTGATTGACCCCGTGGCAGCCCCGAACCTCAAGAAATACATGGGCATCGCTACGACGACCTTCGTATTCGTCGGCCCTCACCCGCATCATCTGGAAAGTTGGCCTGTACGGGTTCCAAGACTGGTTGCCGATGCAATGCCACGGGGCCCGATTCTGCTCGTCGGCGCGGCCCCCGAAGAGGGCGATGAGCTCGGCCATGACACCATCGCCAACGCCGCCGCCATTCTCCAGAACTGCAGCTCTGAAGCCAGTCAGCTCAACGAGTACGGAACAATCGTCAACTAGATCCTTCATGGCATCATTGTTGATGATGCGGTTCATGTGCCTCAAGAACGCAATGCGCATGCGATAGACCTCAGTGCCCCGATCACTGCGCAGGCACATACCGATGACGTTGCAAGGAGGCTTGGCTGCCTTCTTCTCTGCTGGGTCAACTACTTTCGGGACGTCGTCGCGCGTGATCGGGCGACGCCCAGTCTGGAAGTCTGTCTCAACAAGACCCCGCGCTCCTGGAGCCAATGTGCTGCTAGCGAAAACCGACCGAACAGGTTCACCACGATACTCGACCACAACATCCTGCCTGTCCAGTACTATGACAATGGAGTTGGCGAGGTACTCGCGCTGCGGGTGCAGTGTTCGCCCATAGGGCAAGGGGTCGCATGTCCTCTCGATGACGAGCAGCTCGAAGAAAAGACAGAGCCCTCAAATCCTTCTTCATCGACTCCACCATATCTGGCAATGTGGTCAATGCTAGATTGGACAAGGTGTTAGTCACAATAGCTTGCTCACATGCGCTCCTCTCGTACACGTCATCACCTTGCAAAGCCAGAGCAGAGGAGACTTGCTGCGTGCGCTGCAGCGCTCTTTGCCGCGCCGCTGCCCTGGCTCGCTCCCTGGGTGACCCTCCGAAGCGACCGATCCTATCAGAGCCAGGTGGCGCTGGCGCAGCTGCGTTCCGAGCGCGCTCCTCCAAGCTCGCACGCTCGCCACCGCCTATTGATCTGCGTGCAGAGCTGAGAAGATGAGGCTGAAATCGACCGACTGTATCGACACTGCATTCACGACAGAACAAGTTCCATGCATTCGGTGCCGGCTGGAACTGTGTTTGCCCCTGGCCATCAGCTCCATCACCAGCCGTCGTCGCGCTCAAGATGTCTTCAATGTAACCCCTCCGACTCCTCGCTGCTTGGACCAACCAATCTGCGCACAGCTCTGGAAAGGTCTCGCCTTTGGATTGAGCGCCTCTGAGGTGGGCCCGACGGCGGAAGGCTGCGCGAAGCGATTCGATTTTCAAAAGGCATCTTTTCTCCAATCGGGCTTTGAATCTCATGCGAGACTGCGGCACCCTCCCTCTGCGACCTCCTGGCCCCCCACTGTGCGTCTCCACAAACTCCCGAGTCCAATCGTCGAAGAAGCATGGGTGATCAAAACTGTCACGTAATATTACCCTGGCGCCATCGTCGGATGCTAACGCCAGAAAGACTCGTGTCGGATATAAGGAATGCTCTTCCACCAAGGTATATTCGACGATGCGCGCAGTTGAAACCAAACCTTTGAATGCGTCGAGCCGTCGCTGAGTTGTTTGGCATCTCAGAGGGGCGATGTGCCCCCGCAATCTCTCGCTGTCCAGAAGCAAGTCCAAGTCTCTGAAACACCTATTCTCGTTCACCTGGAGCGCGCACTGAACAAGAAACAGCTGAGCTAGATCGGCTTCAGCTGCAAATGCCGTGCTCATGCAAACCTTCGCCTCGCGGACTCTCCTGCGGAGTTCACCATCTTCGCCGACGGAAGAAGTGCGGGTGTCAAGTGGCCGCGAGCATGGCACCATGCTCTGGCGAAACACGATGAGATCAATCCCCCAATCAGGTGAAGCAGCAATCAAGTCCAACACTTTGGTAACCGAAGCGCTGAACTCGCCGCGCCCGGTGCCCTGACCATCTGGCCCATGGCCGCGAAGGGGGCCTTGATCAGGGGGCGCGACGCAGGGTGCAGGAGCGCCGCCGTCTGGGCCATGAACTGCGGCTCCTGGTGGTGCTGGATCTGGCGCGTCTCCTCCTCCTCCTCCTCCTCCTCCTCCTCCTCCTCCTCCTCCTCCTCCTCCTCCTCCTCCTCCCTCTGCGGCCTCACCAGGCGCGGCGACCCCTGGCGCAGGTGCAGGTCCATTGGCACCTCGCCGTCGGCGCGGCGCGCCCGCGTCGCCACCGGGCCTCTGGTTCACCCGCAGCCGCCTCGCGAACTCGGGGAAGCAGTGCGTCGGCAGCCCGTGGATCGACTCCAACATCGCGACCGTGCCGGTACTCTCCTTGCACCTCTTAAGACGGTGTCGGTTGTAAATCGGGACCAGTGCGCTCAAGAAAATCTCAACGATACTGTTGCCAACCATCTCGCCAAGAGCATCCCTGTCGTAGACGCTACCGTGGGGAAGATGCACTTGCACACTTCTATGATATCGCCAATCACCGTTGGGCAATGCGTGGGCGTGCAACAACTTCACGGCGCTCCTCGAAACTCCCGTGAAACAGAGGGCTGCAACTTGACGCTTAAATTGTTGAACACCGTGTGGAGGTCGACCGAAACGAACGTCCAACAGCTCCTTGATCTTCTCCACGACGACCCGGCCCAATCGTAGCATGTTAGTGCCCTCGTTCACAACCAGGGCGAAATGAAATTGTGCAGTTATCAATCTGTCATAAAAGCTGCAAGCTTTCTGCATCCCTACCACAATGATGTGAAACTCACACTTGCTGCGAGTATGACGCCAACCGTTCTTGCCAGGGAGTTGCATCAATCCACGCTCTGATCGATCATTCTGCCCAGCTGTGTCATGGCATATCCCACGGGTTCGGAACCTGAACGATGAGGCCGCATCGCTCACACAACTGCGCAACCTCTCTGCGTACAACAAGCTCTCGCCAGAAGTCCTGTCGACAAGCTGCGGCATTGTGAGCGTGCTCCCAACGACCGACATGATGAACTCCCCGTGGTCGACAAGCATGCCGAACGTGGACTCGCTCTGCAAGGCTTTGCTAGGAAACCGTCCATAATGCTTGCTGAACGGCCGTGTCGGCACAGCATGTGCGATCTGTTGGCCAACAGTGGCGGTCTGCATGATCTGCTGGCCACCAACAGGCAGTTGAGCGAAGGACGCGAACTCAGCCCTCGTCAATGCGATGGGAGTTTCGTCGTGGCGGCAAACATCCTCATACTCGAGCAATTGCAAAGGCGGCACGGAGCCTGCAACCGTTGACTCCACGATCTGCCGCTGAAGCCGATCAACGTGGAGTATGGCACTGGCCAAGCACTGCAAGTACGACCCGTAGTTTCTATCGCTCACCTGGGCCAGCTCTGACAGCATGCCCTTTCCCAGCACTCTGCGCCTTTTCTTCGAAGTCTGAAGAAGGCACAGCTCGGCGATCCTGTAGAAGGGCGAGTCCAACTGAACTGTGATGTCTGTGTTGGCCACCAAACTGTACACGTGCCGAAAGTGCTGCAGCAATGGCCATCCGACCCGCAAGACACGTCCTGCAGACGAGCCTTGCACCGCCTGCTCAACAGCAGGCTCCACTCTTGCCACAGGGCCACGGCCTACGACTCCTCGTGCCGCGGGCCGCTTCTGAACAACACCCCTGCCCTGGCCACGACCAGACCGTGCAGGCATCGCCGCGCCAGGCGCGCCGACGACGAGACATGGGCCGCTGGGCCGCCCCGCCGCCGAGAAACTTCATTGAGAGACGGTCGTGGAACAAAGTTTAAACCAAAATGGGAACGGATGAAGGATGCAGTCACCCACATGAGAACGACGCAGCACAATCACACACATGAGAGTCATCATCGATGCGCGTGGGCCATGCCATCACCGATGCGATCACCCACATGCGAGCGATGCAACCACCGATGCATCACCAGAGAGGCACATGAGAACGATGCAACCACCGATGCAAACCACCGTTGCATACACCAGCGATGCCATCACTGACGCAACCACCAATGTCAACATCGGCGGCACCTAGAGGCCGAAATCTAAGGAACGCCGTCGAGGGTCGAAGGTCGACGACAATCGACAACAAATCTATGAACATCGGCGGATGCGTACATCACCTACTTGTCTGGCTCGAAACCTTATGTGCGTCTCTCTCTGCGCCCCTCCCTCTATTCAATAACTGCCCCATCCTCTTAGTGAGCCGTGCTTTGAAGTGGCAATTGCTGCGCGAAGTTTGCGTTGTTTTTGTTTGTTTTCGGTTGTTTGTTTTGTTGATTGTGCGACGTCGCGCTCTGGATTTGATATTGTTTTTTTGATTGTGTTCGTACATTTTCTTGAAACACTTTTTGATTGTTAATATACGTGGCTGATGATTGTTGTCTGTGTGTTTTTTGTTTGGGCCTTAGGATGGCCAACCGATCATGGGCTTAGAGAACTTCTCGGAAGGCCTGGGGACTTCTGGGTCTTCTGAGAAGGTCTTCTCCTTCTCACTTCTCCCCTATCGCCGCCCATCCTCGGGGCCGTGCATCTTTGGCTTCACCACGTACACGCTGCCATTCTGCGAATTCCTCTGCTCGTGCGGGCGCGCGAGGTCGTGCTTCGCGCACAGCGCTGTGGCCATGGCGTCTACAAAGTGCTCTGGCACCTCCTTGCCACCAACTGTCACCATGTCTGTGTACATCGACAGGCCAACGTTGCGGACCATGGCAAGGGTGCGGCCCGGGAGCGTGAAGCGCATCCTGCCGTTCGGGGACATGTACGGCCCTCTCGGGCCGGCGATCCGCCGCACCTTCCCACCGCCGAGGTCAGCCTGCAAATCGCCGCGCATGACGCTAGCCAAATTCTGGTAGCAAACGGACTTGTCGTCCGCGTCCACCACCGCGACGGAGTCCTCCATGTCCAGGATCGCCGTGATGGCGGCCTCTACGACGACATCGCTCACCCCTCCGTGGTGGAGCCTCCCCAGCTTGGTGGTGCCGTCCAGCACCACCTCGACGTGGAGCCCGTTGTGGCGCAGCAGCACGCGGCTGGGTGCGGAAGGCCTCCCAGTGTAGCCCACCAGCTGCGAGGGGTCCTTCAGGCCGCAGGCTGGCATGTCTGGGAGCGTCACCCACAGCTGCCCGTCGCGCACCGCCAGGCCCGTCGCCGCCTCCCACTGCCTCTGGGCGGCAAGGCCGCGCAGCGGGAAGCACTTGGACAAGAAGGCGTCCACGAAGGCAATCGTGTCCAGGGCCCGCGCTTTCGCCTCGGGGACGCACTGGCCCGGGTCAGCGCAGACCCGGGTCCGCCAGGGCCACGTCGCGAACCCAGGCCAGCCACGAAGTAGCCCCCAAACCCGAGTCAGCGGAGGGCGGGGCAGCGGGGTCGGCTCCAGGTGGCTTCAAACCCGGGTCAGACAGAGGATCTTGGAGGGGATTGGCTGACTCCAGTCAACGCTGACCCCCGTTGTGTGAGCTCCGATCGCCCACGGCCCAGAGGGCGCCGGCCCGAGGATGTTGGAGGCGTAGGTGGCGTCGAAGAGGGAGCCCCAGCGGGCGTTGCACGAGTTGAGCACGAAGCGGGCCTTGTCGATAGGGCACACGAGCTGGGGCCCAGCGATGGCCCCGATCTCAGGGTCCACGTTGCAGGTGCTAGCCTAGAACAGTAACAAAAACTATGCGTTAGCACGATCTTCCAGAGGTCCGCATTGAGCTCTTGGGTCGGCGCCGGCGCCGCACCCTCCTCAATACACCCACTCTCTGGCACGAGGAGCTACGGGTGGCGGGGAGCGGGGTTCAGCGCAAACCTAAGAGATCCGAGCGGACCTCCGAAAGTGTATGTATGTTTACACAGTCACTGCGCTGCCATCAAGGAGCGCCGAACAAGGAGCGAAGGGGGTTCCTGGCCACGACGAGCCTCGGCCACGAATAGGTTGCCCGACCTAGAGCCAAGGAGCGGCTCGAAAACCAGATCCCCTCTTGAGCCCGAAGTGGTCCCTATTCCAGCGCCTTGGCTGCACAATGCTTCTTGTCTTCGATGCCAGCCTCCACCTTCCCCTGCGCCGGGCCCTGCAGGTAGCCGATGCCTCGGAGGAACTCCACGTACTCGCGGTTGCTGCCGAGGCCCGCGGCCGACGCCTCGGGGTGCGCGGCGTGCCACGCGTCGATGCTCCTCTGCATGTCCGCGCGCTTCTGGAGCAGCGCCTGGGGGGACCAACAGGTACCGATACCGCTACTCCCCGGACCTCTCCCGGGCCGCGTTCTGACTAGGATTTCGGAGCGAATCCAGCGGTGGCGACGAGGGCCTCCCAGGGAGCCCCAGAGAGGGGACAACGGGGCACGGGTCGCGGTATGGATACCTTTTCCTCCCCTGAGCGCCGCGTTGCGCGGCCCGAACTGCTCGATCAACCCTTGCAGGCCGCTCCAGAAGGCCTTCTCGATGCCCTCCTGTGGCAGGAGGGCCAGGGGCTCCGAGGGAGGCGGGGCCGGCGGCCCAGGGCTCTCCCCCAGAGCTGCTCTGCACAACCCAGCCGTCGTCTCACGGTCTCCGCGGCCCGGGAAACAGGGGGACGAAACCTGTCCATGTATGCATGCATGCATGTGTTAATGTATGCATGTATGTATGTATGGATTGATGATGGGATCGATGAATGGATGGATGGATGCATGCATGCATGCATGCATGCATGTATGTATGAACGTGTGTATGCGTGTACGCGTACGTGTGTACGAATGTATGTATGTGTGCATATATGCATGTATACAACTACGTATGTATGTATGTATGTATGTATGTATGTATGTATGCATGCCTGCCTGCCTGCCTGCCTGCCTGCCTGCCTGCCTGCCTGTCTGCATACATGCATGTATGTATGTATGTATGCATGTATGTGTGTATGTATGTGCGTACGCGTGTGTGTATGTATGTGTGTAGATATGCATGTATATGTGTATGCATGCATGCACGTATATGTGGATGTAGGTATGTATATGTGTATGTATGCATGTATGCATGCATGTATGTATGTATGCATGCATGCATGCATGCATGTATGTATGCATGTATGTATGTATACATACACGTATGTATGTATGTATGTATGTATGTATACAGGTATATATGTATGTATGTGTGTATGCATGCTTGCGCATATGTATATATGTATATATATATGTATACATACATATGTATGTATGTATGTATGTATGGATGGATGGATGGATGAATGGATGGATGGATGGATGGATGTGTGTATGTATGTCTGCATGCATGCACGTATGTATATGTGTATGTAAGTACGCATGTAGATATGGATGACTGCATGTACACATATAGATGGGTGTATGCATATATATATATATGTATGTACGAATGCACGCATGTACGAATGCATGCATGTATGTATGCATGCATGCATGCACGCATCTCTCTCTATATATATATATATGCATGTCTGTATGTATGTATGCATATAGGTATGTATGCATTTTGCATGTATGTATTATATACACATATATGTGTGCATATATACACACACGTCGCAGCGCCGTCTGTTCTCGACGCGCCTCAGAGGACGACGCCGACACCACGGCAAGCCCACGGCAAACTCTGCGCCCCGCGCCCCCAAGCAGACGAAGCTGGCACGGCGGCAAGCCCACGGCAAACCTACCACGCCCGAGGCGGCGCTGGACCTGGCGGCCGAGGCGCCGTCCCCAAGACGCGAGGCCGCGCGTCGGTACACAAGATTGTAAGGCTCGCTGCGCTTCGCCTTCCAATCTCGGCCCTTGCACCCACGATGCGTGTCGGCGTTGCGGTGTGTATTGTGACGTCGCCCCTGAGGTGCTCGACCAGTGCGAACCAAAGCGGCGTGGCTGGTACATTGCGCGCGCTGCGACGTGTCAGGAACAGGTCTCCGCAAGGGCGGGCGGGTGCTATTGGAGGCAGTTGTCTTCACAGTGTGTCTGTGCGTGCGTGCATGTGGGCGTGGGTGCGTGCCCTGCGCTGCAGCGCCGAAAAGGGCCCGATGACGGGCCAAGACGGAGCCAAGGCGGCCGAAGGGGGTCCGGGAGGACCCCGGCTTCGTCAAAGGGGACTCCCGGGCGGCCCCCGACGTCCCCCAGAGAGCCTCAAGACGGTCCGGAGAGCCCTCAAGACGGACTCCGAGGGCGCCAGACGGCCCACGAGCGCCCCTAGACGGTCCACAAGGCGCCAAAGAAACCCGAGGCGCACCCAAGATGCAGCCAAGACGCCCCAAAGGGCTCCCAATGGGTCGCGAAGCATTGGGGTGATTTTCTATCTATCTATCTATCTATCTATCTATCTATCTATCTATCTATCTATCTATCTATCTATGAGAGAGAGCGCGCCCGCAGGGCCCGAGCAAAGGGGAGGGGGGGCTAGGCTTAAGCTACCCCCCCCTCCCTTGAGCCGCCCTTGTTGGAAACACCCCCCCTCCCCCCCTTTTCTTTGCAAGGGGGGGGGGGGCTTACAGCTACCCCCCCCCCCCCTTGGGCCCTCCCTGCCCCCCCCTCCCCCCTTTTCCAAGGGGGGGTGCTTAAGCTACCCCCCCCTCCCTTGGCGCTGCCCTGGAAGCTACCCCCCCCCTCCCCCCCTTCGTGCAAAGGGGGGGGGGGCTTGGAAGCTACCCACCCCCCACCCCCCTTTGGCCGCCCCGGAAGCTACCCCCCCCTACCCCCGGGGGGGTGCTTAAGCTACCGCCCCCCTCCCTTGGAGCCGCCCTGCTGGAAGCTCCCACCCCCCTCCCCCCCTTTGTGCCAAAGGGGGGGGGGGCTTGGAAGCTTGCCCCCCCCCCTTGCCCCCTTTGGCCGCCCAGCCCCCGGAGCCTCCGCCCTCCCTTTCGCCGACGATCCAAAATGAACAATCCACGATCGAGGATGGACGATCGACGATCAACGATCGACGATCGAAAATCCCAATCGAATCGCTTGCAATCGATTGCACTCCATTCCACTGCAATCCCCCTCCCCACCTCCCTCCGCTCCCTCCCCTCCCTCCACACCCTTCGTTCCATCTCCTCCCTCCCCTCCCTCTCCTCCCCTCCCTCCCTTCCGTCCTGTCCCTTCCCTGCAATCCAATCGATTGAATCGATTGCAATTCAACCGATTGCAATCCAATCGATTGCAATCCAATGGATTGCAATCGAATCGTTTGCAATCCAATGGATTGCAATCGATTGCAACGCAAGTGTATCATTCAACTCGTCCCGTGCCAACGCCCGGGAACGAAAAATTACCCTGGCGACGTACCCAACCCCTGCGCAAACGCGGGGCGCAAATAGTTTAGGACACTTTATAAGGGGGGCGATGACGGAGCGAGGGTTACATATGTCTGCAGACGGAATTCGGGAGACTCGCAGGAAACTGGCTTCAGGACAAGGACTAGATAAAGCTGATTAGTTGCAATCCCTGAGCAACCCTAGCCACTTCGAAAGCGGGGATCTCAGATCGCAGCCCCCCAGGGATGGCGAGGTCTAATTTGGGTCCGCGCGTGGCGTCACTGTGCTGGGCCCCCCAGCAGGCCTCGAAAGTGGCGACAGTTTCACAGATCGCAGCCCCCCAGGGATGGCGAGGTCTAATTTGGGTCCGCCCGTGGCGTCACTGTGCTGGGCCCCCCAGCAGGCCTCGAAAGTGGCGACAGTTTCACAGATCGCAGCCCCCCAGGGATGGCGAGGTCTAATTTGGGTCCGCCCGTGGCGTCACTGTGCTGGGCCCCCCAGCAGGCCTCGAAAGTGGCGACAGTTTCACAGATCGCAGCCCCCCAGGGATGGCGAGGTCTAATTTGGGTCCGCCCGTGGCGTCACTGTGCTGGGCCCCCCCAGCAGGCCTCGAAAGTGGCGACAGTTTCACAGATCGCAGCTCCCCAGGGATGGCGAGGTCTAATTTGGGTCCGCCCGTGGCGTCACTGTGCTGGGCCCCCCAGCAGGCCTCGAAAGTGGCGACAGTTTCACAGATCGCAGCCCCCCAGGGATGGCGAGGTCTAATTTGGGTCCGCCCGTGGCGTCACTGTGCTGGGCCCCCCAGCAGGCCTCGAAAGTGGCGACAGTTTCAC